GTATTGTGTGACAGGCAACCTAAGGACTTGTACCAGCATTTTAAACTTTTTTTTTGTCCCCTGGGAATCTGGGTTGCGCACACAACTGCATTCAGCAGCATGTTTAACCGATGTAAGTCTCGTATACTGATTCTGTCCCAGCCTAGAAATTCGGGTTTTTTAATCTGCTTGGCTTTTTTCAGCTGCAGTGTGTAAGAGAGGAGAGGGGCTTGGTTTTGCTGAATACTCTTGGAATCCACGTGCGTTCAGACTCGATTCCTCGTAGAGTTGACCTGAGTTAGTGCAGATTAAAAGCTTTTTCCTAAACTGAGTAGAGCTGACACCGCTGCTTTGATAACAGAAGTCCAAGAAGTCCAGCGATTGCACTGTGGTCTCTGATGCTCGTGTGGGGTTTGCTGCTAAGTTGTCTGCCGTTCCAAAGCTTAGGAACCAGCCCCCTTGAAAATTTCAGCAATATGAAATGCTGTTTCCTTCAGTCTTTAAGCTTGTAAATAAATCGAAGTTTACATTTCCAAATGCTGTTTTTTTCAGTTGTACCCGAGTACGCTGAAATTAGTCTTCAAACAGTTTTATAACCTTCTTTCAAGTAGTACGTCTCATTAAGTTTAAACTTTTTTCTTTTCTGTTGAAAATGGGACTGAAGCGAACTCTGCTCCTGCCACGTACTGTGGGCAGGTTTAGATTGAAAAAAAAAAAGTTCTTTTTAGTTTTTTAACATTTTTTTTTAAAGAATACCTCACTTATGTAATAAAATCAGGACGTGGGTGGGAGACTGACCGCTGCTTCAGCTAGATGGCTGCTTTTCTCAGTACTCGTTCAGGGAGAATACAAAAAAACCTTTTTAGAATGAACTCTGACTGACCCAACACGCATGGAGAACTTTGGCACCTTGAAAAGAAACTGAGCACCCTTTTTAGGTTCTGGGATCAAAGATGGCTGTTTTGAGTTTGTGCACTAGGCAAGAACGTGACTGGTTTCATTGAGGGTGCGTAAGAAATACTGAATTTTACCAGCAGTTAGTTGTCCAGTGCCAAGCACTCCTGGTTCAGATGGAGTGAAGCGAGAGCCTCTCCTCTGTCTGCCTGTGACCGGACTGAGTAGTTGACCTCAGATAGGGGATCGTTAGCCCTGGGCTAGCCCTGGGGTGCAGGGCCAGGACCTGAACTCATTCTGTGTTGCAGCCCCGCTGAGGGGCTGAGGGCGCAGCGCTGTCCCTTCGGGAGAAGAGCACTGGAGCTCGGGACCGGCAACTGGGAGGTCAAGGTCGAGGTTTCGGCAGTGCTGTCCCACGCAGGTCTGAGTCCCAGTCCGCAGGTCTGAGTCCCAGTCCGCAGGTCTGAGTCCCAGTCCGGAGGTTGGGCTTGGTCTGGATTAACCCCTTGGGACTGACTGAATCGTGATGCATGTGTCAATCAATGGGAAGATGTGCATTCTATAGATGTAGTTCTTAGGGTGTTCTGTTTGGTTTGTTTTTTTTGTTTTTTTGGGTTTTTTTTTAAATAAATAAAGCCTGTTGGCCACTGTTTAGCTATGTGGTGTGAAAGATTTTTAAATGTAGCAAAGTTTAAAGAGTTGGGGAAGGGGGTGGTTGACTTTTTTTGGGGAGAAAAAAAGAAAAAGGCAGAAATCCCATTTTCAAACCCGTTCCGCTTGCTTTGTGACCAGCTGAATTCTGAACAAGCTCTGGCAATCACTAGCTAGCCCGTCTCTAGCAGCCTGGCTTAGTTATTCTCGCTGGGAGCACCACGGCTCAGCGTGGTGCCTGGAGCCGCATCCGAAGGGCACGGTGATGTTCTGGCAAACGTGCTTCACGCTGCACGTCTCGTGTCCCAGATGCGCGCGTCGGAGTCGTTCCACCTCCGTCAGCAGCTTTGCTCTTCAGCTGGGGAAGGGACCCTGGTTGGGATCCAGTGTTCAACAGAAGCCACCCCCAACCACCTTTGTGGATGTGCTGTAGGGTTTTTCTTGCTCAATAGCAAGGGAGGAGCTCTGCTTTCATTTTCGGAAGGCAGAGTTTGGAGGGCATTGTATCAATACTGTTTCCACTACAAGGTTTTTTCCTTGTGCATTGGAGGAAAGATCTTGTAATATCACTTACAGATTTTCTTACACCTTGCTATTGACATTTTCATATTTCTATGTCTAGAGGCTGAAACTTCAATGTGAAATGTTTGCATTTGTTCATTTTGACTTATGATGTAATTTTTGTTTCTATATTGTTAGACTTGTAATGTTTAAAATTGTATTTTATTAAATTTGGACTGGATGTATGTCTATAGCAATACGAGGTACTCTTTCTAAACTGTTATGGGTGGGTGAGCAGCCCCATGTTGCGGTGAGATGCTGGTCGTGTACAACTTGCAATGTAATTTTTTTTTTTTTTTAGCCTGCAGGGATATTTTGTGTTCATGTGTCCAAAAATAATAATAATAATAAAAAATATTGGCATTCTTGTGCCAAATGTTCTGTTTTTTTCCTTGTTGATGTCTAATAAATGCAATGTACAGAGTGAGCAACCGATACTGTTGCCTGTAAACAAATGTCTTAAATTATTTAACTTTTAATTAAAACTTGTACACAACGTGTAACCTGTAGAACTCATTGCCACAACATATTTATTTCTGATGTGCGAGGACTTGGAAAGAAATAGGAATATCCATGGATAATGTCTTTAGGGATACCAAGAGGAGAGCTTAGGTCACCCGTTACCAGAGCCCGTGCGAACCGCAGGGGGAGCGGGTCAGAGCGGGCGTTATTTTTTTCACGTTCTCAGCAGTCCCACAGCAATGTCTGGAGAAAATACCGAGTCACCAGGTACCGAGTCTGCCTGGAGAGCGATTCTTCGTTAGAGTCGCAAATTAATAAGGGGAGGAGCCGTGTGCTTATTCACCTTGTTCCAGGTGAGGGTTTGCTGTTTCCTCAGGCAGCTGCACTTCACTGAAAACACTGGGCTCAGGACAGAAAAAGCCTTTGGACGAGGTCAAAACGTGACAGCTATAAATGAACTGGGGACACGTGGCTGCTGGAAATAACCTGCACCTGCAGCAAAACCCCGGCTTCGCGTTTGATTCCGTTTTGCAGTGGAGATCCTGCGGGTTTGGGCACCGAGGTCGCTCGGCCTCCAGGCAGCCTGAGCAGCTGGGAAGCAAAGGCTGACTTTATCCTTGTGCCTCCCGAAAATGACAGAAAGATGCTTGGATCAAACCGCAGGAACGTGGGGCTGGAGCTGCACGGCACCTGTAAGCAGGTCTGTGCCTTGGGCTGCCCATCGCGTGCTTGGCAGGTGCAGCCCCGGCAACTCCTGACCTCCGACGCGCCTCCCGAAGCGCTGCCCATGCCCACGGCTCCGGTGCCATCCGAGGGACTGCGTCGTGCTGCTCCCGTGCGCGGACATGACTCTGTGGCGTAGTAAGGGGTGAAAACGCTCGAACTGTTGGAATTTCTGTGCTTCTCTTCCAGTATCCCACACGATCCAGGCTCGGATTGCAAGCCTCATCTCGTCTGGCA